GCCTCGGTCCAGTATATCTGAAGGAGCGTCTCCACCCCCATCGTTCTACTGAGGTTCAGCTCCGAGGGCCTTCTGGCGGTTCCCTCACTGCTAGAAGCCAAGTTACAGGGAACGAGGCAGAGGGCCTTCTCGGTAGTGGCACCCGCCCTGTGGAACACCCTCCCACCAGATGTCAAAGAGAACAACAACTACCAGACTTTTAGAAGACATCTGAAGGCAGCCCTGTTTAGGGAAGCTTTTAATGTTTGATGCATTACTGTATTTTAATATTTTGTTGGAAGCCGCCCAGAGTGGCTGGGGAAGCCCAGCCAGGTGGGCCAGGTATAAATAATAAATTATTATTATTATATCTACCTAACCAAGTCAACTTAATATCTGTTACATCACCCACAGAGGCTCTTAAGGAGTCAGCGTGGTGTCGTAGTTAAGAGTGTTGGACTAGAACCTGGGAGACCAGGGCTGCAATCCCTGCACAACCATGAAACTCACTGGGTGACCAGTGCCTTTTCAGCCTGACCTACCTCATAGGGTTGTTCTTGGAATTAAATGAAAAGGAGGAAAACCATGCATGCCGCCCTGAGCTCCTTGGAGGAAAAGGTGGGATAGAAAACCAATCATTCAACTTGCAGAAAGAAACTCCTTGCTGTTCTCCTCTGCTGAGAGGGTGGATTCTCCATTGAAACATACCATGTTTAAGGGGGCATGTTCAGTGGAGGAGAGGCCAAGCTAATACAAACAGGAACTGAGTAGAAAAGCAAACTGTCTCTTGTGCACTGTGGATTTTCAAGGGGATATTTACTGAGACCTTTTGAGGTTACCAGACGTCCCTGTTTCCTGGGGACAGTCCCTGGATTTACACATCAGTCCCCATACAAAATCCATTGAAGTTGAAAAGTGTCCCCTGATTCAGTGAAAAAAATCTGGTAACCTTATTTTGTGGGCACCATGGGAGGAACTAGTGGGCACACTGACACTTGTCAGGTGCCATGTTGGCAACCTCCACTGTATAACATAAAAGGAGGATACAGTCTTTTGTGACTGTGATGCCTAGCTTCCTTTTTTTTTTTTTTAAGGAAATGGGAAGTCTGGTGAAACATAGCTAACTAAAGTTTTACCCAACTCATGGTTTTACTCCTTTTTTTAATATTAGCGTATGAATTCAAGAGATGGATTGCTTCCTGGAATCTTACCCACTTGAAAGCATTTGGTAAAGGCAGAAAAACTGTCTTCAGTCATACTGCCCTAGAATGTGCCAGGAAAGAAGGTAGTCATCTGCAAGATGCTTCTGCCAGTGTGTGTTGCCATATCTGTGGTACTGCACAATCAGCTATACCGTATTTCTCTGTGTTGAAGATCTGGAAACTGTGCTAACCTGTATCTGGTACCATTGCTTTTCTCATCTTGCTGGAATAATGATGCTGGCACAAATGTTTCTCCTTGCAGTTTTACCTTACTTTGGTTCCTGATGCAGAACAGTAGTATAAGTAACTGAGGTTACACTTCTAAGGGTGGGTTTTATGTGAGTGTAGTCAGGAGAGTGTGTGTGGCTCCTCGGCCAGGCATAGTAGTTTGACTTTTGTGTGCAGATTGTTGAAAAAAAGTTTATTAAGAGGCTGTAAGAACTGACAACATGAAGAAATGGTGCTTCCAGTGTTATGTTTTCCTTCTGCCTGACCGCTGTTCTGATTTACTTTGACAAAAACAAATTAGTTATATGTAATGGCTAGGATCCAAAATATTCGGGGCCAAAAAATGTGCACACGTTTGGTTGTCTGTAGTGGGGAGGGGATAGTACAAATACAGTGAGTGCATTCCTGCTCCGCCGCCCTAGATTTACAGGAGCTCATTGAAAGTCATCTCTCTACTGCCTGCCATGTTTATTCTGTATTCTGTTTATTCTGTTTTGCAGCTGATCACAAATCTCTTGATAAGCTGGTAGTTCTAAATGACCGTTTTAAGAACAGGGTCGTTTTGTTTAAATCAAAGCCAATTAAATCAACATGAAAAAGAAGAAAATTGTTTTAAATCATGTGTTTCCTGAAGAAATGTGCACAGTAGTTGGTTCCTGTAACAGTTTGAACTGATTGGTTTGCAGCAGCAGCATGGAGCCTTTCTATTTCCTGGTGGCATAAGCAGAACCTTTAGCCATGCAGCCCACATGACTCTTGTGCCACAAAACTGTGTCATTTTAGATAAGGGAAACAATTGTGAAATTAACAGATCATTGGCTTGTCTCTCTTTCTGTATAGAAAGAGATGATAAGACTATCTTAGTTGTCCAGAACGCTACAGAAACAAGGCTTGGTGGTTTGCCCAGTAATGCTTGGCCTTCATCTTTATACCTACCCCCACCGGTGTTTGTTCTTTTTATATGGAAAAGCAGTTTTTAAATTAATACATTTCGGATTATAAAAGCAGACTTCGACATTTCAAGTTCTGACTTCAGTTAAAACCAGGATATTTTTTTCCAAAGAGAAACTTAACTTAAATGTTTAAAATATAGAAGTCTGACATAAAATATAGATTCTCATTGATTCCCCCCCCAACTTTGATTCTTATGTGTTTGTACTTCATTATCAGATTCAACATCATTTTCGTTTATCCTCCAAGTAATTTTTCTATTACTTAAAAAAAATATAGTTAATGTTGGAACAAAACAACTATCTTGTGAGATGATTTTTATGTCTAAAACTGATGTGTTAGGGTGAAGCTATTTGAAAGCTCTGTTCTGATGCAATATTGTTCAGCTTGACAAGAATAACCCTGCTGTCGGAACAAGAACAAATGACGGCTTCCTCTTTCTGCTTTCCCCCCCTCTAAATGTTTGTTAGTTGTTTTAAAAAAGCATATATGGGTGTGATTTTCTGTCTCATTAGTGCTTGGGAAAAATACTCCACTCCAATGTTGGACAGTTATTAAAACGTTGGTCATTTCCTTTAACACAATACTAGTGATGCAACACAATAGAAAAAAGTGGGGGGAGAAGGCATTCCCATTTCTCATTAAAATGATGTCAGCCCCTACTGGCACATTCCATCCTTCAACTTTCTGGGAAAGCTGTTTGCTTAAAGGCTTGTGGAAAGGAAATAGCAACTATGCAGAACATGTCTGCTTGCTTGATTTCTGACCTTGTGATGCAAGATTGATTTCCTACATGATATGCTGTGGGCTTAGCTGACAAAATCTGATAAAAGTGAACTTTCTGATCAGTTGATCTGTACAACACCTCGATAGCCATTGCGCCTAATTACCAGTTCTTAAATCACAATATGTGGCAAGGATCACAGGCCTTCTCGCACTGAAAGATTCCAGACATCTCCTCTACTTAATGTGTAACTGAAAAATAGCCTTGGTGCCTACTTTTCCTCCGCCCTCCTATGTTCTCCCCTTCTAATAAAATTTATATTTGTAAGCACTTCTGAGCAAGGACCTGTCTTCTTTTCACTCTGCAAAGTGCCATGTGCATTACACTATAGTAGCAGCAGCAACAATACTAATAATAATATGTTGTATTCAACAGAGTGCTAAGGAGATTGTACCATTAGCTCAAGTGTTCCTACTTGCCTGACAGAACAATCTCTCATTTGATTTCCACACACAGACTTCTGGAGGATTTTCCAACTCTTTGAAGCAGATTTGGGAAATATATATGGGAGTGGCAGAAGTGAGAAGTCCCTTTGCAATAGTAGGAATCTTTGTGCTGGCTTCCGCTAATACAACAAGTTACTATAGGTGAACACGGCCCAGCGTTTGTCTAGAGTTCATCTTCTTCCTTGGTGATACTGAAGACACAATTTCTCCAGCTTTCCATAAAATGTCACACTGTCGATAGAACCTAATTCTACTTTATCTTTTAAACATTTAGGCTTATATTTTATTTTTGTCCTTGAGTCCTTCCTATCTTTGGAAGATTGAATAAACTATAGTTTCTCCCATAAATTCAATGCTCCTTGTCTAGGGCCTTATAGGAGACAGTGGAGCAAAGATCACTTTATTTCTCTGAATTTCTAATGCTGAAAGTAAATTACTCCCTTTAGTATAATGTCACTGCAGGTTCTTCCTAACATAGTTTATCTTTAATATCATAGCCTCAGTTAGGTAGAGAGAGAGAAATCATTTTAATCTGTCTTGTATTCTCCCTAAGTTTTCATTTTAGCAGGCATTTGACTTGAGTTTCTAACTAAACTGCTCCCATGCTCTTTTAAGCAAGTGGAATGTCCTACAGCTTGGTCTAACTCGAAACCTTTCCTTGGTCAGGCAGTGAAAAAGCAACTGCAGTCATACCTCGTGTTGCGTTAGGTTCATGTTGCGTCTTTTCAGCTTGCAAACGTGGCATGCACAGAAGCGTTCTGCACGCTTTGCACATGTGCAGAAGCGCTCTATCACGCTCCATGCTTGCGCAGAAGCGCCGCTCTAGTTGCAGACTTTTTGGGGTGCAAACGGCACCCCAGAATGGATTGTGTCCCTAACTAGAGGTACCACTGTATACAGGTATACAGTATACAGTGGTACCTTGGGTTAAGAATTTAATTCGTTCTGGAGGTCCGTTCTTAACCTGAAACTGTTCATAACCTGAGGTACCACTTTAGCTAATGGGGCCTCCCACTGCCACCGCGCCACCGCCATGCAATTTCTGTTCTCATCCTGAAGCTGCATATATGGCATTTGGTGCTCACTTTATGTATAGTCAAAGAAAACTATACAGTGGTACCTCAGGTTAAGTACTTAATTCGTTCCAGAGGTCCGTTCTTAACCTGAAACTGTTCTTAACCTGAAGCACCACTTTAGCTAATGGGAGCTGCCGCTGCCGCCGCGCACCCAGAGCACAATTCCTGTTCTCATCCTGAAGCAAAGTTCTTAACCCGAGGTACTATTTCTGGGTTAGCGGAGTCTGTAACCTGAAGCGTCTGTAACCTGAAGCGTCTGTAACCCGAGGTACCACTGTATTAGTATTCCTGTTTTCATGAATTAACTTGGTCATTGTCTCAATTCATTACACAGAACTTGGCCTCTTGGAATCCCTCAAACCCAGAATGCCTGCTGCTTGTTGTGAAAGAACTTGTTCAACAATATCACCAGTTCCAGTGCAGCAGACTACGTGAGAGCTCTCGCCTCATGTTTGAATATCAAACGTTACTTGAAGAACCTCAGTATGGAGAAAACATGGAAATTTATGCTGGCAAAAAGAACAACTGGGTAAGTGGTTGTAAGTCTACTAGCAAAATAATGTAGACATCCTTTCTTCATGGGGACTGTAACCATTGATTTGGAAAGGTTATTTGTGCTAGGCGTGTGGCTCTTAAAGTATGTGAGGTGTCCTCAGTTTACCTTCCTTGTCCTCAGCCTAACTTCCTTGACCTCAATTTACCGTCCTTGCTGTCTACTCCCTCTTTTGTTCTTTAACTCTGTTGCTCTACTAATTTAGAGGCAAACAGATGTAGAGAAAAGGATTGCAGCAGTTACTGGCAGGCAACCACTTTCAGGAGGATGGGGTCGAAGTGTTGCCCCCCCCCTCCATGAAGTGGCTTTCTATGAAAACGAATTACTGGCTGGGCTGCAGTTTGCACAGTGCTGTCTGATGTACATTTATCCTTCAGAGTTTTTCTTTTAGGTCTCCTAAAGTTTTTCTTTTTTCTCCTGCATTTCTGTGCACTGCTGCTTTGTTGTTGACTTTTTGTTTTTGTTTTTAAATGTAATTGTTTTAACTGTGGCATATTTGCCCTTGGACTATCTGATGATGGGAGAGAGCTTACAGTATCAATCAAAACTTCAGAGTTTTTCTTTTAGGTTGACTGTTCATAGATGGGTGTTGGAATAACACAGCAAAGAATTCAAATGCTTCAACTCAGTTTAGCCTATCTCTGCAAAAAGTATTTTCATCAGATAATGATGAGTATAATGTGGAAGGTCTAGCTGTATAATATATGATCTGTTCTCCAGATATTGTTGAACTGAAGTTCCCTCTATCGCTGACCAGTGGTCATGTTTGCTAGGGCTGATGGGAGTTGTCTTTATTCGGGCCTTTTGCTATGTGAATTTCTCGTCTTCTCCTGCATTTCTGTGCACTGCTGCTTTGTTGTTGACTTTTTGTTTTTGTTTTTAAATGTAATTGTTTTAACTGTGACATATTTGCCCTTGGACTATCTGATGATGGGAGAGAGCTTACAGTATCAATCAAATAAATAAATAAAAACCATTTGGAGGGCACCTAGTCTAATATAATTACAGTGGTACCTCGGTTTAAGAACAGCCCTGTTTACAAACAATTCGGTTTACGAACTCTGCAAAACCAGAAGTAGTGTCCCAGTTTGCAAACTTTACCTTGGTCTATAAGCCAAACGGTGGAAGGGCACCGGCGGCGGGAGGCCTCATTAGGGAAAGTGCGCCTCGGTTTAAGAATGGTTTTGGTTTAAGAACGGACTTCCAGAATGGATTAAGTTCGTAAACCAAGGTACCACTGTATTTGTTGTCATAAGGGTGTTCTGAGTACCTTTCCTTCCCTGTTGTGCTAAGACACTTTTGTGTACTACATACTAAACTATAAATATATTCTTGGCTTCATTGCTAGAGTGAGCTCTCTAAATTCTTAGGAAAGCATTAGGAAACTTCCAAAAAGTTTGATGTACGATTCTGGCTCTTGCTTCTGCTGTACAGTGATATTGCTCAGCATAGGTCTCACTATTTTTTCTTCACTTGACAGACTGGTGAATTGTCAGCTCGTTTCCTTCTGAAATTGCCGGTGGACTTCAGCAACATCCCCACTTACCTTCTCAAGGTAATGATTCACCACGGTGTTAGCTAGCCTGTTATTCTGTGGAATAATCTGAATTGATGAGACATTCGGCATTCAAATTATTCTAATCTGCTTGGAACAAGTGATAGTCTAGCATTTTAAAATATGTTTTTAATTTGTGCATGGGGGCACTGCTACTAGAATGATTTTGGATAATACTGATGATTGGACTCAGATTCCAACGTGATTAGTGACTATCTGCAGCCACACTTTAAAATTCATTCTACATTCATTTCTGGTCCCTGCTGTCTACTTTGGCATACTTTCCCAAAGAAGAAATGAAATGAGTTTAATTACCAGAGTGAGCATACAGTCCTTTTAAGATTTACAAACAGGCCTTTACTAGTTTTCAGCGTGACACCTAATATCTGACTAGACTTAAAATCAGAAGAGTCTGCTTAAGCCTTTGAAATTTAGTCATTGCATCAGCAAGCCAACTGAGGGGGAGGTGCCCATAGGAACTTTCCTATCGTTATTACAGCTCAAGATACTGAATTAGAGCCAAGGAAATTGCCTCTGTTCACTTTTAAATATATCCTTAAGTAAACAGGGAGTGAATATACAGAATTTAGATAATTACCAAACTTATGCTTGACAACTCTGCAGAGCTGGAGAAAGAGTGGGAGTTTGCATGAAGGAATATAAAACACAGTATGACTGTCAAAAGGACTGGTTCACATGTAACACTGGACCATGGTTAAGCACTACATAGACAAGCAACAGCAAAGGGAGTTGAATCATCAGGCCCACTCATCTCCCCACTGTGTGACCAGGAGGAGATTCTCCCCATTTCAAAGAATCTTGGCTTAGCATTAAGTGCAAAATGAAGTTGGCTTATGTAGGAAGTAGTCATCAGTTGTTGTAGGCCAGGTTCTGTAACATCTACACTGAGATTTGAAACTGAAAATAAACACAGCCAAAAATCTGCTCCCAGACATGCACGTGGGAGAAGGGGAAATCATTTGACTCTGATGCTGTGCTTTGACTTGCTGAGGCTCATCCATGTAGGGCTAAACCATGGCTTGGCATTGCATGCAAATCAGCCCGAGAGCTAATGGTAAAGGAGAATTTATGAAAAAATACACTGGGTAGAATATGTTATACTGAAATGAGGAGATGTAACCAAAGATCAATAATTAAGTTGGAAGTAAAATTCCATGTTCACAGATTTAACAGTGCAATATCATATAAATGATGCTGCCCCCAATATTGGGCAAAACAAAAATGTCCTTACCTGGCGCTGAGAGGATGACAGGGTTGGTACCAGGTGAGCCTCTGGAGTGGGTCTGAAGAGAGCTCTTGAAGCCTTTTTAGTTCACTTGGAAGCTTTCGTGGACTATTGGTAAATGGCATGCATGCTATCCTTTCAATGATGAAAGAAACGAGGGAAAGCTGGCAAAGTCTCATCATGTTTTGGACACATATTGTAATCTTCCAAGACTACTGGATTCCTGTCAGTGCTCATTTGACACTAAGTCTATAGTCCTCTATTGGGAGTAATCCCAGTTGAATTCACTGTGGCTGACTTCTGAATAGATATGCATAGTTTTGAGCTCTAATTTATTGAATTTAAATCACTTCTTGCATCTCCAGCAAGTTCATTCTGTAGAATCTAAGTGATAGGAAATGTGTTTTGTTGAAACACAGATTGGAAGATGCTAACGTTAAGCTGTTATCAGAAATCAGTGTTAGGAAATCAGATGGCAAAATATATATTTAGGAAATCATCTGGGGTATTGTACTGGGTAAGATGTAAATTCTTGACACTGAAAATGTTTCTGTTCACCTCCAGAATGAAATAATTAAGCGATAAGTATTATGGTCCAAACAACTCTTCATATTTATATGAATTGAGTTTATTGAGTGTGCAAACTGTGTTTCCAACTGAATAATGTGTGGGAGTGCATGTTTTCATAATGAAAGCTCACGTTAATGGTCTTACAAATGTATGGGGTCAGTTCTAGAAGAGTACAGTGAATTAACTTCAATAATTTTTTCTATATGTATTGCCACCTTACCTGTACATTTTGTAGATACTAATTTTGAATGGTTTCACAAAGGGAAAATAACTCATGGAAGGAGCTTTTTACTGTATTGTTTCTTCAGCAGTTGTAAAGGTCCAACAATTTAAAGAACCGCAGAAATTAAATATCTTTCCCCTGCTATTTTTCTAAATTCTATTTATGCAGTCAGTACAACTATAATTGCTGAGAACTGATTGGAACCATGCTGTCTGCAGTCCAACTCAAAGAAATATATGCAGCCTTATCAAATGAGTTATGCTTTTATGACTGCTGAAATGAATACCCAGAAGTGCAATAAAATTTTAATATATTTTTCTGCCTGAAATTAAATACTTGATTTACTGTTTGATTTACTGTAACTATTAATCTGAGGCTTATATAAGTTGGGAATTTTAAAGAGTCACCACTTTAATGTCTTGCAACATTATTGCTAAAGAACAATATGCTTACCATTTCCTCTTGGGTTTGGTTTATGGCAATTTGAAAGCCATATGTTGATGTTAGATGGTTTGGATCAACTCCTAAAACCTTTGAGTCCTGTGTACCATGGCATCCAAAAATCCTTGACACAGGGTGGCTGATGTTTGCTTCTGTAATCCTGTATTTTGTGTTCTTTTATCCATAAAGGACAAAGCATCAGAGCACTTCAACACCATTTATTCAGTTTCTTATTATAGTGCCAGATTTTTAATCTGAATATTTGGGAGGGGGCAGTAAGGTTTTCAAACATTTTTGTTTATTTTATTTAAACGATTTATATACCTCCTAACTACAGTCATCTCTAAGCAATGCACAGAAAATACAATATGGAAAAGGTAAAAATCAGTTAAAACTATTAATAAAAACTATAAAAAGGTCAGCAGGGAGGAGGCCTCTTTGACCACAATGGAAAATTCCATAAATTTGGACCCACGATACTGAAGGCAAAGTTGATCTGGACATCCATGCTGCAGGGGACCACCGTCTTGGCTGTCTCTTTTTTTGCAAGGACGAGCAAAGCCTTTGTGGAACTGGAAAAGATATTGATGGTCAACTAGTCACAGATTTAACTTTGCAGAGTGCTCAGAGTATTTGGCTGTTGGGAAGCAACTTGGAACACAACACACAACATTGGGGTCCTGTTTTTTCTTCCCACTACACTCTATAGATAAGTGGGTCAGGGTATTGGCCACTCTCCCAAAGTCCTTTATTTCCCTGGTGATTAAAATAATTCAGAAATGGGAGTGACTCCTTGCACTCTCACCCATAGTTCTTCAGTTGCTTTCACTCTCCCTACTGTTACAAATTGTTTAAGGCTGCCTTATTTAGGGGGCAAAGGAGCCAGAGGCAACAGGGGTGGAACAATCACTGTGGGGCATCCCCAAAAGTCCACATAAATCCAGACATTTTTACAGCCATCTTCTATGCTGTGCACAATTCCATTTTTTTAAATCACCCTTTCCCCCATGCTCCTCTCAATTCAGTTCATTCTCCTCCTCCTCCTCCTTCCTCCTCCTCCTCCTCCTCCTCCTCCTCCTTGCAATCACTAAGATTGTCTTCCATGGAAACGGTTTTAATAGTGAGTCCATAAGTGACTGTGGAGGCCAATTCTGGATCTACACATCCTTTCACATAGGTTTCTGAGCAAGAGTTGATCATGGTGAGGATTTGCCAAACGAGCCTTCCTCTTAGCTCGTTTCTCCTTTTCACCCTGAGTTTGTGCTTCTTCAAAGTCCATGACACCTTTGGTAAAGGCTGTTCTCCAACTGGAGCGCTCACAGGCCCGTGTTTCCCAGTTATCAGTGCTTACGTCACTTCTTTTTTTAAAAGATTTGCCTTGAGAGTGTCTTTAAATCTATTTGGTGCTTTAACAGGAAACAAAAGCATTATATCTGTTGGTTCTCCCTCTCAGCTATTTCTTGGTTTCTTTCCTTGAACTCTGCCCAACAGAGGGTAGGATGAGAACAAGGCAGTCAGACACACATGTAAGCTTGGTGGCCAGGTTGCGGAGCCGGGTGCCTAAGACATAGTTCCAAAAGATGCTCTGCTGTAGCCCCTGCCCTTTGTGGATTGTGTACATACTTGTCTGGTCTCCCTCTTCTCTTGATACTCACCGTGGCACTCAGTCGCAAAGGAAAAACATGCCCCTGGCATGTAAAATGTCCCCAGTATCCAGTTAAAGGATGTTGGGTAGCAGGACTAGGAAAGTCTTCTACCTGAAATCTTGGAAAGCAGCTGCTCACTCCTTATTTGAGCACCTGCATGGTAACCTAGAACTGCTACATGTATTGGTCACAATGTAGAGATCCCTTTTTTAAAAAGTCAATTCATATCCCTAACACAATACAAATGGCTTCATACTGACTGACTCCTTGATTCTGGATACTTGTGGCATTAAGGCTGTAACCCTAAGTCACTGAAACCAGAATAACTTGGGTCCCATATTTGATTGAAGTTGCTCTTTATGTTATGAATAATAGCTATATCCGATAGACCAGAAATAAGTGTGGAGGAATGGATAGATATAGTGTATTCACATATGTGCATAACATGAGTTATATGTAGGCAGAGATAATTTACTGACATGGAAAGAGAAACCATTTGAGAAAATAGGTTGTTTTTTTAGATCTCGTGTGTGGCCAGGCATTTGTATAAAATGCTTTGATCCGGATAAGAGGAAAATAGGTGATGCCATTGAGTAATAACCTGCAATTATTTTTTATAGCCATTGCATTCCTGTATCATAAATCAGTGCTTATATTGCTACGGTACAGAATTGGCATGATTACAGGTTCTGACAAGATGGTGAATCTGATTCAAGTAGTGTAATGCAAACACTTCCACCTGGTGCATAGGGCTTATGAGTGTAGAAACGGCTCAGTTCTTTTGTCTTTTCTATATATAAAAAAATTAAAATAACCCCTCCACTTGATAGTGATTTCTTGCATCTCTAAGTTGGGAAAACTGTTAGAGTGTCGT